AGGGATCGAGGAACGCCCGTTCACGGTCAGCGCCGCCGGCCAGACGTACAAGCAGACAGATCGGTTTGTGTACCTCGAACGTACCATCTCCGCGGACGGGAAGGCCGACCGGGAGATCACGAGCCGCAGCTAACGAGCGTGGAAGCGCTACCGCCGGAACGGTGCTTCGATGTACGACAGGCGACGGGCCAACCGCCAGCTCAAGATCCGGCTACTCCAGGCTGAAGTGGTGGAGACTCTCCTGTATGGGTGCGCCTCGTGGAGCCTAACAGCGGAGCACTACACGAAGCTCAATGGGACCCACCGCCAGTTCCTTACACGGTGCATCGGCTGGAGCAAGCGGAAACGCTCAGACTGCCCCCTGCCCTATGCCCAGGCCCTCATCCAGGCAGGCTGCGAGGAAACCATCGAGGCCACCGTGCGCAAACGGAGACTGTGTTTCGCGGGCTTTAAAATGCGCATGAAAGACAGCCGCCTCCCCAAGCGCATGCTGGTAGGAGCGATGGCGGGGGGCGTGGGATACCAGGGCGGGTAGGAGAGCGACTGGGTGTCTCGTCTAGGAGAGGACCTCGTGGCCTTTAACATGGGAGACGAAAACGAAGGGGGTAAATGGAAAGAGAGCGCCAAGGATCCGGAGGTGTGTTACAACAAGGTCGAGGANACCATCGAGGCCACCGTGCGCAAACGGAGACTGTGTTTCGCGGGCTTTAAAATGCGCATGAAAGACAGCCGCCTCCCCAAGCGCATGCTGGTAGGAGCGATGGCGGGGGGCGTGGGATACCGGGGCGGGCAGGAGAGCGACTGGGTGTCTCGTCTAGGAGAGGACCTCGTGGCCTTTAACATGGGAGACGAAAACGAAGGGGGTAAATGGAAAGAGAGCGCCAAGGATCCGGAGGTGTGTTACAACAAGGTCGAGGACGGGGCGGCATTGTTCATGAGGAAATGGCACAGGCAGGAGGCGGAAGCGTCCGCGAAGCGCCAGCGCGCGAGGGAAGCAGAAGCAGAGAGTACGGCCATCTCAGGACGGACGAGAAAGAGAGCCGGGGAAGCGGCGGTGGGGGGGGGAAACGGCGACCGGGCACTGCTGTAGAAGCGAGTAGCGGTCGAGGCAGCACTTGTGGCTAGCAGATACGAACAAGAGCTTGTGGCAAACTATGTACCCGGCTGATGTTGTTGCGCCCTGTTTCCCTCCCTGCTGTATGCTATACTCCTTTATGTATGTCCTTTGTTGCCTTCGGCCTCTGTGCTGTGTTTCTCTTTTTTTCATGACCTCCCTANTACACCCGAAATATAGGGGAAGCCACTACTAGCCTAAACATGTACTTACGAAGTATATGTGCATCATGATGGATACCCTTTAGTCTACATCCCAAATATAGGGCAAACCATTGCCTCAGCCACGTCAAGGGGTCCGTAGGCTAATGGATAAGCCGCTGCCCTTCGAAGGCAGATATTGTCGGTTCGAGTCCGGCCGGACTCGTAAACCTTTTTGTACATTTTCCGTCCCCTTTTTTTTTCTACAGAGTAGATACACACCTGTTTGCTCCGTTACTCCCATGCCCTGGTGCGTGGTGCCTGGTGCTGATACGTTACCCTTTGATTTTTTCTTGTTTGTGTATGTACTCGGCAGGATACAGATNGGGGTTACGCAGATAGATATTGTACATGATGGGTGCGATGGACTTGACGCGTAGGCTCTGCTTACCTGCCCATGTCTCTCACTCGTTAATAGTTAATCAAGGAACTTGAGTCACTCCTTTGTGCAACACGCTCTCGACAAGAGCCCGCGAGCGTGATAACATAGTACACGCGCCGACACCCCAAACATTTCTTTGGGCGGGTGTGGGAAGTGTCCTCCTATATTTTTGTTTTTTCGATTTTCTTAATATCACACAACAAATCCATCTCTATCTATANAGAATAGGGTAAGATGTTATCATGAACGGAGATGAAAGGGCTTTTCCAACACGGAGATGTAGCATGGATCAAAGCATTTGTTGGATTTCAGCTTTTACAAGCGGACATCAACGCAGTAGTATTTTAGCAAGCTTACGAACGCATATAGGATACCATCAGGATTGTCATTGGTAAGTTGAAGAGGAGATACTTGTACGATGTAAATGACAGTAGAAATAAGTCCTACATGTTGTTGTACTTCTTATTGGTTTAATATTCATGTAGAGTATGAGACATTAAGTGAAAGTTTTCTGAGGTACATCTGCAATTGTCGGAAGGCAAAAATAAATAAATAAATGTCTTCGTTCTTGTTTTTTTTTATCGGTTTCCGAGGGCTCTTTTCTCGAACGGTCGGTGCGATACCTGATCTTTTCTTTCATCATTTAGTTTTCTTTTTCCGAGTGGTTTGTACCCTATTTTTGTTTTGTTTCCCCTCNTTTTATCGGTTTCCGAGGGCTCTTTTCTCGAACGGTCGGTGCGATACCTGATCTTTTCTTTCATCATTTAGTTTTCTTTTTCCGAGTGGTTTGTACCCTATTTTTGTTTTGTTTCCCCTCTTCCCCGCGGCGTCGTATGTGCCGGGTTTTGAGATCACGGGCTCCCCATTTTTTGTGGACTATAGAGCTAATGTGAGCAACAACAACAACAACAACAACAACGTAGCATATGATTCATTCTGCACGCTGCACGCTGCACGCCCATACCGAATTGGTTGAGCCGAACTGCTCCCGAAAAGGAACAAAAAAAAACGGAACTTTTTTTTTTCTCGCGTTTCAGGTTGGGTTGTTAGGGCAGTGATAGCGGAATATGCGCAGGGCATGAGGGGGGAGGGCGCAGATGGAGAAGAGGGAAGCAGCATCTACAGGAGTAATCTAGATCCGCTTGTCCCGAGAGCTCAGCTTTCCAGGTGCTCAAGGTGTTCTGCAAGCTGTATCGGAGGACATACAGCCACGCACGTGCATGTAGTCTACAGCACCTTTGCCACGATTCCTCGCAAACCCATTCATCATTCGGTTGGCTGGCTACTGTTGTTGCTGCTGCTGCTCCTGCTGGTGATCCAAGGCGGAGAACTAGAGATAGGCTCCAGTCTCCTCCCGGCATCGACTTTGTTGTCGGTCTGGTGAATCGCAGCAAACGGCAACGGAGAGGCTTCCATCACCGGTCCCACTGAAGGGGGTGAGTCCAGCAGTAGCTGTAGAAAGGCACACATCTGAGAGGCATGTATCGGCTTCCCAAGTACAGTGCGTAGTTCCCAGGTACAAGTGCGTAGATAGGTAGGGAACGCACTGAGTGAATCCCCTACACGCCCAACTTGCAGACAAGACCTATCCTGTTGTGTTTTACTGCTCGTGGCCTAGGATTAGTTATTGCAAGTACAAAATGGATTTTGGATAAGGCGTCCAGCTCTGAGGCCGGCGGTCCCACGGTTGCACAGCCGCGCCAACAACAATCAGTGCAGCAATGATTCCATGAATGGTCCAGAGGCGTTGAGCCTCAATGCAACGTTAGGCCTATTATCAACGACCAAAAAAGCACGGAAAAATTCGCGGAAGCGTACTTTCCTGCAAATACATGGATCCGTGAAAGTAGCGAGCAGTTTTTTTGGGGGGCTTGCTGCTTTCGCAGATCCGGGGAATTTGACACAAGGGTCGGGCAGGGTCGGGCAGGCGCACCGCGGGCGCTGTAACATCACTGACAACGCTCGCAAGACCTACCAGACTCACGTCAAGGTCTGTTGTGGAGACGGACAAGCGGCAGAAGCCGCGTTCAGTCCGTTCTTGGTCCAAAACGAGACATTGCGTGGTGCTCCCGTCAACTGCTGCTGTTGGTACTGGATAATTTTTTTCAATCACACATAGCAAACACGGAAAAAGTAGAACGAGTACAGCAGCAGCACCAAGACCTTCAACGCGCTGATTCCTTCTAGGTCCGGCTGTCCACATGATACTCACTCCCGGCGCCGTGCTGCTTCGTGGGTATTGGGGGCTTGGATGCTGCTCAATATGGTGTGTGAGAGACGTGTGCCGCATCACCAACAGGCCGTTGGAAAAAATGCGGCGAGTTTGTGCCTTTGGTCGGACACACTATCATCAATCCACCGCACCACGCAGCAGTAGAGCAACAGGGCCTCCGACACGCTAATTCTTTCGAATTGGCCATCTATATGATGCTGGCCGTCAGCCCCGCTGCCGCCTTATGATTGTTGAGCTCGTCTACCTTTGGGCAGGTGGTGGTCAATGAAGTGTAAGCAGCACCTAGGTTGCANGCACCACGCAGCAGTAGAGCAACAGGGCCTCCGACACGCTAATTCTTTCGAATTGGCCATCTATATGATGCTGGCCGTCAGCCCCGCTGCCGCCTTATGATTGTTGAGCTCGTCTACCTTTGGGCAGGTGGTGGTCAATGAAGTGTAAGCAGCACCTAGGTTGCAACACTCTGCCCTGCGCCTGTTGTTGCTGAAAACTGAAAACAGCAGGCCGGGTGGACGGGATATTTCAAAGTGTGCTGTCTTTTGTGTCGGGTGCTGCTCATTGTGTTTTTACCGCTGCTCTATGGTGAGCAAAACCAAGTCAACCTGTTGTGTGCCGAGCAAAGCGTGTATTCAGGGAAGGAAACTTACTTTTTGCGATGACATACCAATAGAACAAGCGAAAAATAATCGAGTCTTCTTTTCACCGTTCCATGAAAAGATGCGTGAATTTTCCGTTGCGTTAGTAACGAACCTTAACACCAGGGTGAGTAATGGTCTCGAAAATATTTCTGTTCAATGTACCCTGTGTTTGGCGTATTCACGGTCGGGAGAACAACGCAAGTTTCAACATGCTTTCGGGGCAACGCCATCCATTTTCGTCCCGAATTTGAATTCATTTGGAGACCTGATCATACTGTTGTACTACTGCTCGTGGCCTAGGACCATTTAGTGTAAGTATGGATGTTGGATGAGGCCTCCAGTTCCGGCCTGTGGTCCCATGCTTTCCTTCCCACGCCTACTTCTCGACCACAGAACTGGAGCCTGGTTGAGTCACCCAAATTCGTATCTTCAGCAATGGTAAAGCGGCCTACGTGGGGGGGCACACGCTGCAAAGTCGGCCTCCAATTCCAGAGACAACGGCGCCCCGTGGGTAGCCACATGGTTTGCCGCCCACCACCGTCTGAAGGACAGCCCAACTTAGCTCTTCGCGATCGATTCCGGTTTCCAACCCCGATCTGCACATCTCCTTTCGCGCTGAACCGCGCATGGATCTGCTTAATATTTCCTATACTACCTTGCGGCCCTGATGAATCAACCTGCAGGCCAGTCACCAGCCAACCCCCCGCCTGGTTGTAAGAAAACGCACTATGGCCCATCCACGAAAACTTCTGGAGGACCTTCAAGGAACGATGTTCGAGTACTTGCATCAAGACGAGGCAGAGTTCTTGTACGAGGTAAGAGGAGGAGCTTTGCAGTGTTTATGAAGCTGTGTGTCTGCTGCTGTCTTTTGTATTGTGGGTCTGGAAGTCAAGCTTTCACGTGCTCAGTGACGGCAGCCGCCAGCTTTTCTTGGCGACGCGGACACCCAGCAGGGAAAGTATTGGTTTCCAGGGGGCGGACTGGTGTTCGATGAAAAGGGCGGTATGCGATGCGCCGTTAGAGTGAGCAGGTAGAACTCTTTTTTTTGCGTTGGGCACAACGGTGGAGGGCGGAAAGACCGGATGTATCCTCCAACAGCCCGGAACACCTGACAGTTTGGCTTGCTCACGGGATATTGGTCATGGTTCCAGCGCAGTGCCCGCAGAGGTATTGTGCGCGTTAGTCGAGTCTATTCTTCGTTTCCCTCGCGCAGCAGTCGCGAAAGCAAGTGATCTGCCTTCATGGTGCAGCATGGCTGCCAACTCAGTCTTGTCTCAATAGTCTGAACAGTCTTGGTCATGTACGTGTCGACGTGACGAGGATACATGCACTTCACAAGAGCTGCGGCGAATCATGTCTAACTGTTGCAGTATGTCGCATGCACCGTGTACACCGAAAGCCCGGCCGCCGGCAACCTGTTGGCGATTGGACATGAGAGTGCGATCCTCGGCGCAGTGATGCGAATTTAGTTTTTTTCGGTTTCTCACGTATATTTTAGCGTCGTGTTGCCATGTTTTTGCAAACAGAGGTCTTCATGTTGAGGAAAATGATGCCGTCGACACGCGCGTTCGATGACGACTTCCCCGCGTCGTCGGGGGCTTCCGTGTTCTTGTGGACGCGAAATTCCATGCACAGCACTGCCACCAACCCTCATCCCAAAGGTCGTGCATGGCCCTAAGATATGTGCGAACCACTCCGACTGTTTCGTGCGAACGTCCTTGGATTACAACACCCACTGCTGAACTAGGAGCACATTGTGCCGAAAAATCTCTTACGACAGGATACGAAGACATACCTGTTGGCGCGTCCTCGTTTTCTCCCGTGGTTCTTGGTCACGCTTCACGATGCCATATGTACTGACATGTCTTTCCGCATGTCGTTCCAATTTGTCGGCGCAAACGCCTTCTGCTTATCTTCGCTGGAAGTCCTCTAACACACATGTGAAAGGAGTTGTCTCATCACGATTCGGTAGTTGTTACTGCTGCTGTTGTGAAGTACACAGCTCTGAGCGGGTGGCTTGTCAGGCAGAAGCAGCAGAACCTCGCTCCACGCGCATGTGCTAACCATTGCTGTAAAACCCAACATTAAGATGGAATTTTTGACGTGATGTCACAAGAACGTGCTTTCCACTCCCACTTGGCTGTAGGCCAAGCACATGTAAGAGTTACTCTGACTTTGACGTATAGACTCCGGCCTCTATCTGCGCAAGTTACACAGTAGAGCCACCAAAAATTGTTTTTTTTTTTTGTGAGTACTCGCGCAATCTCGCAACTCGAGCAATACCATTCACTTCGACACAACGAAAGCGCATTTCGGTGCAAAACGTTGACATCTGCTGCTATTGCAAAGGCATTGAATGCACCAACATGAGCAAGAACGTATGGTACAAATGGGTATTCCGCCACTCTTCCCTCCAATGCCAAAACCGATCGCGTATTACATGATTCCAGCGGCCAACTCGTAGCCAACTGTATGTCGGCGAATTGCTTGTCGCACTTTCTGCACCGGATCCTACCGTGTTTGGCAGCCGCCGCTCGCAGCAGGAACTCCGCCCGAGCCTACACCCCAGGCAATCCCCACTACGTGGTGTGGACCTTACCGACTCCGTCCTCGAGCGCCTCGGCGCTCTCGTTATTGTCTCAGCTGGTGTCTCAAAACGCCCTCACTCTCGTCTGGTTTTCCTTGCGATGCCAAGCGTGCTCTTGGCGGAATGGCGTGTGTGACGGCCATGCCGTGACTACGTATATAATGCGGTGTCCTCCACCCAACGGATTTGGTTGGTCACGGCTAATCGCTTCAACCTCAATGCCTCGGCGTTTTGACGAATGTCTCAATACTTACCGTGTGCCAGCACATAACTCGGCGGCTGAATCCTCTTTTTAGAAAGCCAAATGCTGTGTGTAGGATCCATCAACTCCTACGTTCAAGGATTTCAATTTTGTGTTCATACATCGCGACACGATGCTTTTTCTTTCGTCTGCTGCCAAATACGTTTGCCCGCCCCCACTTTGAGTCATTCTACAACACATGGTGCCCCTGTCTGTGACTTTTACCTTCCGCAGGCAGCCAGCACGAGCGACGTGCGCGAAGGTGTACTTAGTCAGCCCCACAATCTCATTCGATTATGCGTAAACGAATACCCTTACGGTTGCCTCGTTGTCCTTCCGCCAGTATGGTGTAGTGCGGTCTTGCTGACGTTGCTCTGAGAAAATCGGGTGGTGTGGAGGCTTGACCCTCTGGGCGGTCGATCACCCTTTCACTCTAGTTGGAGGTTTTGATGCTCACCTGAACCCATGTTTATTGCCAGTGCAAGGGTGCTTCTCGTAGCTCCCCATGCCGCTGATAGAGACATCCTTGGCTACTCCGGCAGACCACAGGGTGCGAGTGACTTTGTCGACATCGACATGCGCAGCGTGCACTGGAGGTGTTTTTGTCGTGCAGGCTGCTTCAGGTATTGGAGAGTGCACACGAAATACTTGGCGTCCTGACTTCAGCCTGTCGCTTTTCGTTCCTGTTGTAATCGTTGCCTATGCGATTCACGCCGATGTTTGCCGTTGTCAACCCCTTTTGTCGCATCTCAGGAAGTGTTTGTGCGGCGCTCTTATTTTCAGCATGGCATCTGTGTCAAGGAAGGTGCCGTCGTTGTCGACGCTGGTGCAAACATTGGGCTATTCTCGCTGCAATGTCTCAGAGAGGCAAAAGGGGTGCAGGTACTCGCTCGCCTAGGTTTCCGACACACGGTCGGTCGTTATCAAGATAGAGAGAAAGTGGGAAAATCTTGCGAAGCATTCACCATACCAGCACTTTCCTCTTCAACTACACGTGGCCAACGGTTTCTTCCTAGTTTCAAGACCTTTGGTTCTGATGCCTCCGTATGCCATTTCCCGTGTGTCATTTCCACCTGTTTCCCTATCTCCACCACTGCATCCCTCTCCACCACGTACAGGCACATTTTCTCGGGTAGGTCAACCTTGTCGCCCTTTCCTCGTTCAAAGGCACAGCTGTGAATTATCCTCACGGCAATTGTTGCCGAATCCCTCTGGTTGTATTGTGTGGATTCATAACTCGTCGTTATTTCGCCTCTCGCGTAAGATCATGCAATATCAGAAGCAGCCGCAATTACGTTTTGCCGTTCCCGCACCGTTCGCCAATGGCTTCCTTTTTTTCTTGCCTGGCTTCTGCCGCCTCCTCTCCATGAAGTTTTGGCGTCAGCATTTGGTCGCTCATTTTCTCTGTTGGTGTCTCTCGGCACGACTCTTCCCTATTCCCGCTGGCCCTTTGGTTGCTTTCTGGCGTCATACTGTTCCTTTCTTTGGCGAGGTGCCATGTTTCTTCGCTTTTGTTGCCTGGCAAGTTTTCATTCTAGTTGTTATGTTTGTTGCCTTCTTCGTATTTTCGTATTTGATAACCGCCAGACAAGACCTCGATAAGGTACAAAAGCGAGATATTGGCGAAACCCTTCCCGCCCAAATATGTGTGTGATCTATGTCAAGAGGTTCAGTGAACACCTTTGTTGCACCTTGTTTCCAAAGGCGCACCGTTAGTTCATTCTCCGAGTAGAAGGAGCACTGGACAACCTTCGATTAGTCCTGGTTGTCTTCAAAATTCGAATCGGAGAACAACATGTCACCGCAAGCCTCGATAGGGCATTCTAACGGCAAGGAGGTTCATGCCGTTGGCATCACGAACCAGGAATGTACAGATTTTTCTTTTGGCGTCCTCAATCTGGGGAGGCCCCCCCTGGCGCAATTCCTAGCTACATCGAGAGGCTTTAAGGCGTCGTCGTGGGCCAGGTTTGGCACGATTCATGAATATTACCAATCAGGAGTCAACCATACCTGTCATTGACATGCGACAACGCCAATCGTAACAGATTTTTGCCATTGAGCCGATTCCGGTGATTTACGACGTTCTAGTTCGCAACCTGTTCAACGCCGCCTCGGGCTCCGTCAAGGAGGGAACCTGTCCGAAGCCCGTCGCCCTTCGTGTAGCTCTAGGGGCCGAACAGGCTGAAGAGGAGTTCTATTTTTTCCGAGACAACCCGGGAGAGAGCACCAGGTGAAGAACAAGCCTATACCGCTGGAACTATATGGTTCTCGAAGGCTGAGCCAAAGGCAAGATGATAGAAACTGGCAGGCAAAGGTAATAATGAAACAAGCAGGTTTGTATCCTCATCGTTATTATCGCATGGAACATACATATGCTGGTAGCTCAGCCGTTGGAGCGCCCTCCAGCAATAGAACTCAGATGTTGTAATTTCTTCTGTCGCCACTGTACCCCCGCTGGCTGGTTTCCACGCTTGCAGCCCGTGTTATTCTACTAACACCAGAGAGTGTGTTGCCCCGCCTGACCGTATCATGGCTTGCACTTTATTTTTCTAAAGGCATCGAGGAGAGCGTGGGGAGCAGCGGCAAGCTTTAGACGCAGACGTAGACGCCGCATCTTGGCGACGAGTTGTTGGAGAAGGGAAACATCCAGGTGGCGAAGATGTAGCAGGAGCTCACAGTGGTGTCTGTGAAAATACGCCGGAAGGAGAAGAAGGCGAGCCTTCAGTGTGTAGTGTGGTGCCCCTGTCACTCGCTCTGCATCAGCTGGGGGTAGCTGGCGTGGACATGTTGAAAGTGGATGTGGAAGGTGACGAGCTTGCGGTACTTCATGGCATCGATGACGACGACTGGCCGAAGATTCGCCAGGCGAGATTGGATTGTCAGGGCAAGGATGCTAG